GCAAGGCTACACAGAAGCCCTCGTCTTCCCAGTGGGAGGCGGCAGTATGGACGAGGTGAGTAGCCAATTACACATGCATCCAAGACATGTTCTAACATCTCCATAGTTTGGCAACCTCCAGGCATGGTCACAACGAACCAGCGCTGCGGGTGCTGGTCAGCAAAGAAGAGTGGTGTATGGCTCCACCAACCTATATTCCGCACGTGACTTCATCGTCAACGAGCTTGCGCCTTTGGGTGCGGAGAGCACATGAGCTGAACTGGAGCTCTGAAGTCTACATTAGCTTGAAAATACGAAAGTCGTAGTATCCAAAGGCAATGTAGCCATAATAACTATTGTCAAATCTTGATTTCGTGTCGTATTCTACAAAACTACCTAGGTATTTTGAGGTTGAAGTATACATCAGCTCAGGACGTATCCACTCATCAATCTTCAGCCACATGTATGCTGCGACATGCGACACGAACTCTGGCCATTCCTTGTGCCCTCTCTCACACCATGACCTTGCCTACAAACAGATCCTCACTCGGCGTTCAGCATAACAACCTCGGCTCACCATCGTGACGCTCAACACCACGCCAAAAGAAACGACCTCAACTACAAAACGACCTGAAACATCGCTCTGCATGTTTCCAGCTACCTGGATTGCAAGATACTGATGTTTGATCGTCCGGATAGTACTCACGAGAGCCACGCCAGCCACGCCAGCCCTATCGTCCTCAAGCACGCAAGGTCGTAGGCATCTGCATAACGCCACCACAACCAATCGCATCCCAACCTTTCGACAGCACCACCAATCGCATCTCGGTATCACAACACCCCAACCGCACAGCATCTATATTTCTTTTTCTTTCTTATGTGACCTCATCTCACAATCATGCACAGAAGCCCTCTCAGCCTGCATAGAAGGATCTGAAACGCCCCTAGCGTATATCTCGCATCGTGAATCTACTGAATCGTAAAACACACATCAACAAGCATACATGTCAAGGGCGTGCATATCGTGGCTTACGAAGCCTTGCGTAGCCTGGTCGAAGGATTCGGTCCGTCAACCGAGTGCTGAGGCAGACGCTGGCGGATGGAGGAAAAAGTAAACATGGTGGGGTAGAGACGTTTCGAGATAACGGGTTTGGGGAAAAAGCAACGTGGGGGAAGGGTATAGATCGTGGCTAGGATTTTGGAGTGGGCTGTTTGATGGTCGGCGGGGGTGGCATGCAGAGGTTGCGAGGAGGGAAGTGGGTATGTGGGAATAGGGGTGCAGGTGTGGTGACGAGGGTCGGAGGATCGTGGTGGGTGTTGAGTCGTGCTTGTGGTGTGGATACACCCATTCTGACGAGTATGTAGGTGAGCAGGGGTGGAATGTGAGCGACGGATGCATGATGTGACGCGTGGAATAGCTTTTCTTGGTTGATGTGCAGCATGGAGGGGTTGGGGTGGGACGAGCATTCGCCGATCGTGATTATGCACGTGGTGAAGGATATGTGAAGTCAACTCAACTCAAATGCAGTGGGAGACATTGTGGCAGGTCGTCGAAAACATGCAGATAATCTGATAATATACAATACATTCATAGCGGCTCGATGAGCCGCAGCACATCAATCTAAAGGGCTCGCGCCCAAAAAGGTCTATCTATCACATCAATCTAAAGTGTCATCAAGCCATCCAATCCAATCCTATCCGTCTATCCAGTCTATCCGAGGTATAACCCAAAACCAAGTGCCCAGTAAAACGCCCAAAAGAAAAGGGAAAGAAGTGTTACAGCACCAGGTATCAACGACGCAAAGGACCGTAAACCCTGTGATTCCTGACGTCCATAGCGCCACTGCCTGCTAGTCTCGTAGTGAAGTTGATGTCTCCGAAGATGGCGCCTTTGGACTGTAGTGTCCAGCTGACTGTCGGCTTGGGGCTGCCAGTGAAGGGGTTCATGCTGGTTAAGATCCAACCGCGGGCTAACGGGGAATACTCCGTCCCCTTGACGACTTCGGGAACGGCGATGAGGAGCGTCTTGGAGTGTTCAAAGGGAGCGAAGATAATGGCTTTGCCGCTTGAGAGTGGTGCGCCGGTGTAGTCGTATGTCGATGATGATGAAGAGGGCGCGGAGATGATTAAAGGGCCGTGTGTGCGCTCGGAAGCGCCTGAGGGCCAGGGTATTCCCGATGTGATTAGTTTAGAGAGGAAGTGGACGAGCGATGAGAAGGCTGCTCGGCCTTCTGTAAGAACCATGTAGTTTTGTAAGATGAGATGAGGGTTCAGCAGCATCTCGATACTGTAGGGCTCCAGTCGAGGTTCGTTTGGCTCCTGGAGGCTTGTCGAGACTTCTAGTAGCCAGTGTGAGCCGCAGCTCAGTACGCAAGCCAGTGTTTGGATGAAGATGTTGCGTAAAGCTGGTGTTCGTGGGTGGTGAGGTGCGTGTGAGAAGTTCCACAATCCTGTTCCTGGTATCTGGTACTGAACACATAGATCGATGATTGTACGCGCTCGCACAACATGTGCGGGAAAAGACGGGCTGGGTTGTGTTCGGTGTGGTAGATCAAGGAAGATAAGATCTAGCTGCGCATACTCGGCTCGGCCGTCTGAGGCTTGAACAATCTGACTTGCTTGGCTTGAGAAGCGTGGGGGTGGGGGCCGGGCCGCGTTGGTGTCCAGGGAGGTTGGACGGCACAGCCATGAGACTGACCCGTCGTGTAGTTGAAGTGGTGTGCCAGTTGTGCAAAGTGCAACAGGATCTCGCGCCGCGATACCGACGAGTAGTAGTGACCGGAGGCATTCGTCTTCGATGTTCGGTCTCGAGAACGGACCTGGAGGAGCAAGTGCTAGAGGTAGGCCTGAAGCGTTCAAAGCGATAGCGGTTTTGTCCCGGTTTGCGTCAAGCCTTCGCATGTACTCGGGTAATCTTGGATTACCACCGGCTCTCATGCGAAAGGTTTCCGCAACCAATGACGTAAACGATTGCATCGTTGGAGATTGATCGTGTGGAGTATCCGGTCTCTGCAATGTGCCTTGGCCATGTGCACTTAGTGTATCGAGCTCCTGGAAGAACGCGAGAAGCGAACGGATCTTCATCGAGACTGGGTGTGTGAAGGTTGTGAGCTCACTGGCAAGAACCAGTAAGTGAGTGAAGAACTCTCCGGTAAATCGTACGATTGTCTGGACCTCATCCTCGTAGTGCCGTAAGCAAGGTACCAAGAAAACGTGGCTTCGTCCCATCTTCATCTCGTGGGCGCACCAAGCGCGATCAAACCACTCAGAGCTGAGTATTCGTTCCAGGAAAGTCTTGAGCGGGCTGAACTGCTCCATGAGAGGCGGAGTAAGTCCTGCATTTGGTTGCTGGCCCGAAGGCACCTGGGAGTAGCTGTATTGCTCGACGTAGTAGCGTAGAAATTGTTCCTCCTCTGGCGTGATGGCAATGTCGTCTATTGCCACGACGACCGCTCTTGCATTCTTGTAAACGACATCGATAGCACCAGCAACCCCTGTCCTCTCGCTCTCATCCTCTTGTTCAAGGCAAACTTGGTCGAACCACAACCCTTCGCCCTTGTTCTTTTCTCTGATGACAGCCTCGAATAATGCCGCACCAGTCGGTAGCGGGAACTGCTCAATTTCCTTTTGCCATCCAAAAGGAAGATCTCCGACCGGTGTAACGACTCTTCTCGGTGCGTTCAGAGTGAACGATTTCCTGCAGTAGCTGAGTGCGATATACGACTCTTCCTCGCCACGGAACTCGACGTCGTTGATCAACCGGAAGGGGAAAGTGGCCTCCAGGTGGTCCTTGGGAACAAACTCCTTGGTGAGTGCCGGTGCTAGACGGCTGATATTGGCCAAGAGGGTAGTCGCATTGATGTTGGTGGTGAACGACGGCGCCGTCCATCTGTGCTGATTGATCAAACTCTCTCGTGCACCAGATTTGACACTCCGTGTAGTGAGACTCGAAGTATCCAGCTCGTCTTCGTCGATGTCCAGGAAGTTGCACTGTCCGAAACGAGAGTAGTACTGAAATGATGTTGACAAAGCCATGGGAAAATACATTATCCAGCGAGCTTGAAAGGAAGACTGTTGGTGTTCGATGATGTGACTGGTCTCTTGTACAAGGCACCCAGACCTTTTTGACTACGATGGCCTCGCTCTCCCTTCATGACCCATGATCCCTCCTTCTGCACCCAAGAGCGCCGGCGCAAAGCCGTGCTCTGGTCTTGGGGCCAGCGGTAGACAAGCTGAGAGGACGGTGCCATGCATGAACGTTTTCCGTCAGCCCACTGGCGCCACAAGCGGGCCCTCGCGCACCTGCTACCGCATTGCGTATTTGCGGGGTATGATGAAGGCTTGGCTGGCTTTTGACGATACGTTAGGATGCATAAGGCGTAGTTGGGTATAGTAAAGTTTGAGCGATCCAGATGTTCGGGTACAATTACGGGTCCGCACGGTCCTCGCAGGTGCAAAGCAGGTGACGTCGCAATCTTTCGGAAGGGGCAGTCGCGACTGCAAAAGAAAAAACACGAGCTGAAACATGCAGACTCATGGATTTGTTCCGGTAAACGCCTGGTTGCGGACTCGACATGCCGCGCTAGAAGTTCTAGAAGGAAAAAAGCAATATGGTATGCACCCTCCTGCAATTTCACACGGTACGTAATTTTCCGGACAAACTTGTTCTAGCGGAGAGTGATCATGATGCAGCAGAGATGCGAAGTTGAACGGTCAAGTCATGATGAGGCTAAGCCCTACCATGGATCGTCCCAGCGCGGAAGGATGCTGAAGCATGCTGTGCCTGAGCACGATCTGGATATAAATAGACTCGCGGCACGAGATTGACTCCCCGATCTGTGTAGAGATACATGTGTTGTGAGAAACAGAACCCAGACTCCAGCCATTACCAAGCCAGGCACGTGATGCTGCCGGCCAAACCGCTCACGTTTTGGAAACTCAAATCTCAGGCTTGCGATGGCAGCCACCCGCCGGACCAAAACACCCCCCAAAACGCGAATTGACAAATTTCCAAACGGGCATCAATCGATCTTTGCATTTGCGAGCCTGTCATTGGAGCCTGCGATCACGTTCGACATCCGGACGTTCTGCCGTTTGTATTTGCTGTGTTTCCGGAGCCGTTTCCGTGCAACCATGACTGGTACCGACGACTTGGTTACAAGGTAGTTACTGAACGATCCGAGAAGAACACTGCCGTAGTTAGAAATTGCGCGCGTAATATTTGTAAAGATCAGCTCACCCTTTCAACGCGTTGCGGCCTCGCGACCCCAGGATCACCAGGGTAGGTTCCAAGAAGTCAATCTATTCAACGGCTGTCAGCAAACCGCTCCAATACTAGATGCCAGATCGAAATCTTACCACTTCAGTAATCATGTGCTTGGGGCTCTTGCAGTGAAACACCTCAACGACGGCACGCACTTGCAGCCGGGTCTTCCTTAGCAGCTTGACGCACCGGTCCGACACCTCTACGCATGCCTGGTACCTGTCTTTCTCCGCCTTTCCCATATTTTTCACGTTGGCCTCGGTAGCCATTATGGAGCTGGATAGCGCGGAGAAGCCAGGTCTTGTGGCTGGCAACCCGTCATGGTTCGACAGCGTCCGTTTGAGATGATCAGATTCCTGCCGTCCGGTAGTACCTTGACTGATAGGTGCACCTGAAGCATCCGTGGTTGCGACTCCAGTTTCCTCATCGACGGCATAGACGGCGAGTAGAGTGTCGCCATCTCGCAAAACGGTGCCGATGGTCCACTCCAAAGCATAGGCTGCTTCGTCACTTAAATCAGTAGACACCAGATACACACGCTGTCTTCTCAATCCGTTCTTCGCGTCTTCAGCAAACTGAACGTAGTCGCCCCGGATTATTTGTCGAACACAGCGGTGGGCCTCTGGGCTGGATTGGATAGGTGAGATGTTCAGCGAAAGCTGCTGGGCTGATTTGATCTCGGCAAGCTCATCCTCGTGGTCTGAATGAACTGGGGTCGAAAGACCAGACCCGCCCTGGTCAAAACTGGTATGGGGATGTACCACTCCCGACGAACCCTTCCTCGATATCCTCTCCCCGTTGGGGCCAGTAATGTTTATGTTGGGGTCTAGTAATGATCGTACTTTGTAGGAAACGGCGACATCTCGCCCTGTGTGGAGTTAGTGAGATGTACAAGTCGATCTTGTTTGCAACACTTACGCTCTTGCTCGGCAGCAGCCAGCAGGCTCTTAGCAGTGATGACTTCTCTGCCCATGCTGTCGGTGCCTCCAGACGACTTTCTCGACCGCTGCCTGCCTCGTTTTCTCTCCTTGGTTTTGTTCCACCCATCTTCCCAATCTGAACTATCCGAAGCATTGTCACTACTCTCGACAGCAGCACTATCTTCGCCGTCGTCGTCTGTCGCAAGGCGCACGCCCCCGCCGGGCGCAGTGGCAGTGCCCTTCACGGGATCAACACCCTTGCGATTCGGTAGTGAGGACAATCCGCCCTCAGATTGTGCCAAAGCAGAGTCGTTCAGTTTGCGATATGCCTTGTCCATGTCAATGCGCTTGCCCGAGTCTGTGACGAAGGTGTTGTTCGATGTGGGTGCGGCCGGTGTCGGGTTCGCCATGCGCGTTACTGGAGAGGCAGATCGGCCTGGTCCCGGAGAGCCAGACTTGGATCTGCCCAAGGGCCCACTCGCGGAGTTGTGCCTATCCCTGGAATTGCCCAGGAAGCCGCTGGAGTTGCCATAGACAGAGGACATGGCACGCGGCTTCGCAGCGGCATCCAGCTTGCCACCCTGCGAGACTCGCTTAGGCATGGCATGTGCGTCGATGGAGGGCAGCATTTCGAATTTGTACGCCGATTCGGGGTTCACGCGACGCGGTGACGAGGGCATGGCGAAGGGGATACCAGTGCTGCCTCGGCTGGAGCTCCTACGCTGGGCCGGCGAGTCGACGTCCAGCATGCTGCGAATGGGCGAGGCAGCGGAGCCAGGACTTTGCGCGCGCGCAGCTGGGCTCTCTGCGCGTCGTGCGCCGGGCTTTTGGTTGCCTTCGAGAATCTTGACGACCTCTCTCATTTCCTCGTCAATAGCAGCTTCGAGTGACGCCATGGTGGCGGTGTGCAACTGGACGAGAAGACACGGAGTCGCGTGTGGAGTGCGGGCTGTGGAGTAAGTGGAGTAAGTGAGTGAGGCTGGCGGCTGGTCGGAGTGGAAGTTTGGTAGTAGAACGCGGTCGTGCTCGCGGGGTAGCAGAAGTGATTAAGGTATCAATTGGCGTCGCGCTATGGCATCATAGGCGGTGCTGTGTGCTGTCGGGTGAAGGGGCTACAAATAGCAGCGATGCAGTCCCGAGCGCAGTCGTCTGGAAAGATGTGGGGTGAGCGCGTGATGGGATGGACTAATAGCAGCGGTGGGGTAGCAATTCCAAAGACTGTAGCAGCTGGCAGTAGCTGAAAGCGATGGCGGGCCGAACCGTAGTATACAGTGTAGCTAACCGCTGTCGGAGAACAAGTTGTTCCCTAGCAGGTTGATGGAGGCGGACGACATGTGGAAGTCAAAGCGCGAGCAGCAGACGGTGAAGCTATGCACGAACAGTCAGCGCGCGTCGATGGTCGCGGGTGCTCTTGGTCCAGGCGATGCGAAGTGGGCATGAAACCCCTCCCTCAACATCTGGCGATTTGGCAGCGCTTGGCAGGCGAAGATCACCAGAGACTGCCACGCCGCTGACGCAGGGATGAGTGACGATTCTGGTATGAATAGGCAGCAACGCGTGGATATTGAAAGCCTTTGCGATAGGTTCTTCTTAGTCTTGGTTTATCAAGGCGCACGCATATCTGAGCAGTTCAACAGCAGCGCGCATCTTTCATATGATGCTTGGCGATTAGTGACGCAGCCCAGGGTGTGGCTGTGCTGTGTTGGCAGTCGCTCCATCCATGGATTCTCATGTGGAGCTTCCTGCGATCTAGCTAAAAGAACAATGAAAGTTACCTCATCATTCCCGAATCAACCGACGTAAGGCGAAAAGAGATGCATATGAGTGCAGGCATCAATAAATATATTATACATGGAGGCTCCCTAACTAACAGCAGTCTACCTCTTCCTGGGCAGAACAATGTTAGCTCGTGCAGCAACACCAAGCTTATGAATAGCATTGCGCCTGTCCCAGATGCCGCTCGTGCCCTGTACTACAGCAATGAGCTCCTGCGCAATACGCTGGGCAAAGCTGCCTTTTCCACTGCCCATATTCCTCCGCTTAGAAGCTGCGGCCAGGATCCACTGGATAGCCGAACGTCGCCGTTGCCTTTGACCCAGCGGAACGGGGATCTGAAGGGCAACACCACCTCCAGCAGCGCCACGCTGACTTCGGATGCGCATCAGAGGCGAGACAGAGTCAATGGCGAGGGTAAGGTAAAGCACAGGGTTGAGGGGTAGATGCGATGGTGGCGGCGCGCCAGGAAGCAGAGGTCGTGCTGGGTTAATGGTGGGAACTGGTGACGTCCGAAGGTGTTGCAAGATCAGCGCCATGTTCTTCAAGTCATGTCAGTTGTTTGTAGGCTGTGATTCAAGGCTGGCTGACCTACTCGCTCCGCAACGCTCTTCTTGCCGTGTCGCATGAGCAGATTGGTGACCTGGTCGACTACGGGATCGTGGCGATGCTTGACATGGCCGTCCTTGGGCAGCGGCAGAGTGGGCATCTCATACTTGAGTCCTGGTGTCGTGGGTGCTTTGGAGGCAGCCTGGAAGTCTACGAGACCCATGTCCACGCCGTTGTTCCCACTTGACTGTGTCGTCATTGTCGAATAGGACCGCGAGCCCTTGGGTGCCATGTTCGGCGTCGTCTTGGGCTTTTGCGAGTTGAGCTTGTCCTGCATCACCTTGGGCAAGTTCTGTTGCGCCTCTTTGTCTCCCTTGACTACCTAGCACACTGTCAGATTTCGCCTTGCCATGTTTGCTGTGGATGACCCCACATCTTCAATCGGTGTGCCCTGGTTGAGGTCGGGACCATCCTCTCCCATTGTCTTGGCCATCGAGGCTGCTTCTTCCGAGACATGTTCAATCGGCTTTGCGTCCTCTCGCTTCGATCGGTCGGCGGCGGGAGGCTTGGTTTGATCTGAGTAGAGGCGGCATTGCGACGGCGCCATTCGAAGCGCTGACCGAGCAGGCCAGTGAGCCTGAGGCCTTGGTCGGAACGCGATCGAGCGCGTGATTGCGGGGACGTTCAATCGTGGCGGCATTGTGTTGTGTTGTGGAGGCGGCTTGGTGATGTTCTTGCAAAGTGACGCCGAATATTCAAGCCGATGTCGCGCTACAACGTCCGTGCGCAGTTTGCCTTTACCCCAGATCGATTACAGCGTGTTCGGCAACTCACCGCTATGATTTGATGTTGCCAGATCCAAGATGCTACATGTGCGCCTTTACTCAAGATGTACCCTGAAGGCCTTCAATACATTGCATGCTGCAAAACTACAATACATGATGCAGCGTATACCTCCCCGGTGCAGGTTGGGTTGCGACTGCCGCAGAACGAGCTGATTCGTAGAGAGCGTTACACATGGGCGGAAGGAACCGGTGAGACAGACGCCATGGCCATTTGCTGTTTGGTGTTGAGTTGAGCCTGCCGCGTCCAGTTGTCGAAAGATTTCAGTTGCCCGTCAGTCCATCGCTCTTGTAGCAGTCACGATCTCACAACAAATATCCTACGCTTTATCTCTTCTCTACTCTCAAGTCACTTGTACCAAATCGCTCCATCAGCCTCTGCTTTCACTCAACGAACACAACATGACCTGACGTGAGGAAGACCTATCGTGCTGTAGATCAATTTCTTCGAGCTCAAGGGGGTCAAGCCGGATCCAGACCTGTATCAGTACTCTCTCGCATTCTCCAACGACAAGCTCTCCAAGCCCCAGAAGAAGCGGTTGATCGAATCCCTCTTGAGCACGCTGCCTTTCTCAGCAGCCAATATTGCCACTGACTGGAACCAGAAGCTAGTCCCTTTCGTCAAGTTGAAATTCGACGAGGAATACACTGTCGTACACTATCCTGAGGGTGACGATCCATTTCCTTCTCCCACGAACGACGACACTGGACTAGCCAATGCGCGTCGAAGGGACACTTACCAGATCACCGGCGAAGAAGTTGGCACTGTATAGTTAAGCAGGTCTCGAACTTCTTCAAGAAAGCCAAGGTGGAGACGAATCACACCAAGTACCACAATAGCCGCAACAAAGATAGTCAGGAAACCAAACGCAAGGTGCACACCATCATCGGATTCTTCGAATACGGAAAGAATAGTACAAACGTCACATTCGAAAAGGTCGTCAATGGAAGGGCCACCCATCCAACCGTTCTACACTACTTCTGGCAGGAGTACGTGGAAAATGGTTCAAGTCGATGTATACACCTTGCACCTGTGAGATGGCATTGCTTTTGTCCCCACTTGTCCGTCCATGCCATCTAGAACTGGCGACAGGTTTGTTTCTTGCTTGACTGCACTCTTCCTTTGCATTGATCGTCGGGCATTGCTCATTGGTCACTGCTACCTTAGATGGAGCTAGTACCCAGTATGGTGCATGTCATGTAAGTCAGTCGCTCGCCCCCGTCCCGCAGTGTTGCTCCACAGCGATGACAGCCAATCGGAGGGCAGCAACTCCGCAATGCGCACCCTTCGCAATGAGTGATGTTGGACTCTACTCGAAAGCTTGAGGACGTAAAGACCAAGGGCTTGCTGCTTAATGTTATCGTCACCACTCGGACGGGCATGGTGGGCTGCAAGGGTACGGAATGCGTGCTGCAGGGCGTCACGGGGTCGCGGTCGCGCTTTCCCCGCACTAGCCCGGATGGACGACAGCCAATCAAGACTCAGCTCCCAGCCACTCCGTTTCACCCCACTGCAGCCCTGGACAGCACACGGGCGATTAGATGCGCTCGCATAGGCGGGCTAGCTTATCGGCGGTATACGGGGACTCTCTGTGGGCTCCTCCACCATGATCGCATTCCCTCTCGACTCTGTCTTGACCAAAGCGCTAGGCACCCACCACCTGCACTGTTCCTGCCCCGATTCACGCGTCACAAGGGTACTCCCATGTGCCCGCCAGAGCCTCGACACGCCCGTAGTACCGCATAGCTGAGACGGCGAACCGGCCTTCCCATCCCGCCCATTCCTCCCATTCCTCCGCCACCAGCGACTGCGCGCAAACCATGATGGACACAACCGATCGCGGGAGCTTATACGAGCACGACATCCCGTCGCTGAGCGCGTCGCTCGAAGCCTTCGACCCGGAGCGCAGCATGCACTCGGCCTACAGCGGGCGCTCCAACATGCATTCGTCGCGCTGGAGCGTGCCCCAGGACGAGGTCGACAGTGAAACCGAGTCGGACGGGCCATGGGCGCCACCAGCATGGCAAAAGTCGCAATCCAGCAATCACTGGTACAGAAAGTCGCTGCTTGGTGAAAGCGCCATGCGCAACAGCCCGTCCAAGTCGCCGTTTGAGTACCGCACCGATCGCGACGTCACACCCTCGCGCATACCACTGCCGGAGTCGCCCTACAAGCAGACACCGCGCACCAGCCCAGAACCCATTCCCGAGGAGGAACAGAGATACATGTCGACCAACATCGCGTCGCGACTACAGAGCCCGGAGGAGGAGCCGCAAGCGAGCGCGGGCGCATTGGCGGGGACCGAATCGACGTTGTCGCAACATGACGACGGGCCAGTCGAGGGCTGTAAGTAACGCGAATCAATGCGCGCTGTTTATACTGACAGCCATAGTCATGCGCTTTGCGTACAGAGGAGAAGCTAAGTTCCGTACAGCGCCCATCGAAGATACAATCACCACTTTCGCGAGTGGCCTTCACATCTTTACGAGGTCAAGAGCCAACCTCATCTTTACTGTCGCGACTCTTTTGATGTCTTACCTATTACTGCATCCCTGGCAAGCCAGTCTTATTCCTGATGTCGCAAACGTCGCCAGCATGGCGAAACAGTTCGAGCCTTTGCTATACGCTTCAGAGAGTGTCATTCCACGGTCGCGCGAGCTCGCAGACGCCAGTATCGCCGTGCAAGACCTGGGAGAGAGCGTCCGTGCGACTAACATGTCTGCGTCGCCTGTTATCATCGATCAGCTAGACGACCTGGGCGATAGTCTCAGGATCCTATCCGAGAAGATTACTAGCTTCTTTACCAACGTAGATGGCGACATGGACTCGTAGGTATAGCCTTCTTGACCTCGTACACCTACTGATAACTGTAGCATCCTCATTACTATGGAGTGGGCCAAGCGAGAGTTAGCAAGTATTCAGGGCCCAAAGGTTGGCATGATTGATACAGTCATCGACAATGTCCACGGCGGCCTCAACGCGATTGGCCTGCTTGAGCGGAACGGCGAAGCTACAGCCGTCGGCCGTGTCGTCAACGATATCCTTGGACACACTACGCAACAGCGGTCGAAAGCTACTCTGCAGCGCACGTTCGACTACCTCCTGACCACTTTAGAGGAGAACATTGCGAACGAGCTCGCGCGCGCAGACGTCCTCTTCCAACTCTTCGAGAGTGTAGACCGCCAATTCCACAACCTCCACCGCTCCGTTGCCAAAGAAGAAGACTCGCTCGCAAACCGCAAAGATGAATTTCTCGCTTCCATGTGGCGCACCTCCATCAACAACAAGATGAAGATCAAAAAGTACGAAAAGAATCTCAAGCTACTCAAAGACGTGCGCGCATCGACACTCATCAACAAATCGGAACTGAAAGTGCATATCCAAATCATTCATTCAGTCAGGGACCAGCTAGACAAAGCACGCAAGAACCTCATCAGTCCTCTCATCCGCGCTGCGCAGAGCAACAGCTTTGGTCTGGACCAGCAATTGAATGATCTGACGGGTACATATGGGTTTTTGAAGACTCTCAGAGACGACCAGAAGAAGAAGGTTCGACAGCAAATGTGGGGCGAGCCCAAGAAGCGCATTGCCATTACTGCTGGTGGGAAAGAAGAGGAGATTGAGGGAGACAGCGAATAATTTGCTCACCTCTAGTCTTTCTCTCTTTCTTCCTCCTTTTTGAATACTGTTTTCCGGCGTTCAAATGCATAGCTTACCTCTCTTGCCTGGCTACTACTACTGCTTCTTTCTTGATCGTTCTAGCATGGCGACTTGGTTAGATAAAGGAGCGGTGTCTTGCTTATACTTATCGCGGCGTCTGACTGATGAGATATGTACCATGGCGTATTGGACATATCATATGTATGGCATTTTTGCCTTGGAGCTTTTGGAGGGAACATGGATGGGATGAAGGGAGGCGTTTGTGTTATCAACAGCTTTGTACAAGCATTACCACTACCACATACTGATATCAATCTAAACATAAATATTACTATGCTTGCGCCCTTGTCGCCAACAAGATCTAGAGTTTGGTACGCTAGAGCTCTGTACAGTGGCTTACATGTCGCTACAGGTGCGGACTTGTTCCGCTTGTCTTACAGTACCTAGGTACCTAACGAACGTCAGCCGCCCCTTGCTGATTAGCACACAGTATGCTTAGGCAGCCAGACTACACTTCAACATATATGTTGTATAGCTACCCCACTACATTGCGGCACAGTTATCGCAGGGCCTCGACTTGAATCATTCCACAGAGAATACACTACACGTTGCATAACTCGAGATTACATCTCCATTTCCACCACCTTTTCTCTGGTCTCTATTCAAAGAAATTCAACCTATACCACGACACGCCGCAAATCCAGCCGAGATGCCCAGGCGTTTCCATCGCTCCAAACCCATGCCCTCCCCTACAATCTTAGACCCTCTTCCCCCCGGAACCCAACCCGTCATCCGTCCAGGGCCCTCAGCAGTAACCTACCATATCCCCATCTCCCCTCCCTCTCCCACTCAACCCTTGTCCAAAACAACAATCTCCCTCCCCCGCCACTCAAAATGGACATCAGGCCTCCACTTCCACACCCAGCACACAGAATACTTACACCTCGTCCGCGGCTCCATCTTCGTGTACCTAGACGGGCAGACTAAGATTCTGAGTGCCGCAGCCGGTGGCGAGGTATGCGTTTACGGCAATTACAAGACTGAAACCGGACTAGTTATCCAGATCCCCAAGTACGCACGACATAACTGGGGTAGAGCGAGAGAGTATCTGGCGAAACACAGACCATATTGTGTCACACCACGTTTTCCGGCTGATATCGACGACGAGGTTGTGGTGGAGGAATGGACGGAGCCGGCGGATGGGGGGAAAGCGCTGTTCTTCTGGAATTTGAATGGGGTTATTCAGGCGCCATCTACGGCGACGCTGCCTCCGCTTCAGCATTTTGCGCGATGGGTGTTGGGGCGTTGGTGGGTGGAGTTTCAGCTGTGGAATGTGTTCTGGGAGTTGGATAACTGGCCTGTGGTGCTGGGATTGAGGAATATGTTGGGGGCGGAATGGTATGGGTGGCCGTTGCCAGAAGGGGTCTATCTGAGGGTTAGACATATGTGGTCTGAGGTGCTGTGGGTTGGGCGGTGGAAGAGGAAGGTGGAGGGGTGGATGGAATGGATCGTCATACTGGTTCTGTTGGGGTTGGCGAGGGGCGTGGGATGGGTAGTGGACATCAGGGCTGTGGAGAAGGAGAGGACGCCAGCGGCCTTATGGGAGTACCAGAGAAAGGGATTTAGGGGTTGAGGCATGGGATCGGACGTCTTGAACTATTGTAAAGATGTTTTGAAATCTGGATATGTCCTACCAACGCCGCTCCAATCGTGTGTGAAGTATGCAGGCCATAACGCTCCGTCCTCGTATCCATACCCGTCCGTACCTGACGTCTCTTTCTTAACCAAAACGACCATATTCCAAGTCTCCCTCTCCACTCCGCATCTCTAGATGAGATGCTTGCTCCTGAAGTAGGCGCGGAGGTATACAACCTGCCAAGCCCCAAGTCCAACCAACATACCCATAGTGCCCAGCGCAAACCACTTGACCCGCTCATTGGTGCTCTCATTGGTATCACGCAGCTTCTGCTCGCGACTCCTCAGGTAATCCATCTCGGTGACAATCTCGCCAACCGTCTCCTCGATCCTCCTAAGTTCAGCTTCTACAGGCTTCAGCTTGTCGACGGCTTGGATGGCGTTCCAGTCCTTGGCGTCGGCGCCAATGTCAATGTCGAGCTCAACGTGGCGGGGTGCGATGTTCTTGGACGAGCCGGACGAGGTGAAGATGTTCTCGAAGCATACGTCGAAGGCCGAGTCGGCGTGCGAGGTGAAGGCGTAGCGGTTCTCGCCCACTACGTCTTTGGGACGGTGGTAGTCGTTGCCCATTGCGTCGCGGATCTGTTTGTCGTTGTCAGTAACGTCTCCAGGCAGTATAATGCTCGCATGATGCTAGGTTTGTTGACATGGCGCTGGAATTGCAACGTACATGCATATCCACTCTCTGTCCATCTCCGCGGTATCCATCCAGAATCGCCGTGACAACCACCAACTGGTCCTTGGCAACAAAGTTCCTAACGCATCGCTCGTACTTGGCCGAGTCGTGTGGTGCGACGGGGTGGAGGTCGAATTTCAGGGCCGCGGCGAGGGGGAGGATTGCCAGCAGCACGCAGCTGAGAAGACGTGCTAACCGGTCCATGCTGGATTGGGGATGTGTGGAGAGCTGCAGCGCTTGCGGACTCGAGTTGTTGCCCTCTTGGTGGCTCCGCGAAATGTACAGCTGTCGCAAGACCGCGCGGAAGGACAGATGGTCCGATTGTAAGCTAGCGCGGAGTGGGGAAGGCGCGTGCGGACCCTGAAGCAGAACACATGGGCAGCGACTGGGAGGAGCGTCTCGCCATCACTCTTCCAGCTTCACTATGTTGAGACGACCACATATTCGCGCTAACTTGACAGAAGTCTGATGATACAGTTTTAGAAAGCTTATCGAAACTAGACTATTTCGCAACGGCGTTAACCCATATCAACGCCAACCCGTCGCTGAGAACGCTCAAAAGACATATCCTACAGTACGACAACAAGCTTCTTACCAAGCGGTAGTACCGCCATCCAGCTTCAGATCGTGCCCAGTCATGTAGCTGCTGGCCTTGCTCAACATGAACAGTCCCGCAGCCTTGTACTCCTCAGGAGTGCTGAGCCTGCCCAACATGCTGTTGTTCTCCCATTCCTCGCGGGAGGCCTCGCCCTTGTCGAAGTTGGCTTGCACCATCGGCGTGACGATATGGCCTGGGCTCAATGAGTTCACTCGGATACCCCCTGAGCCATCTGGATTCTTTCGCCCCCACTCCATGGCCAGGTTCCGTGCCAGCTGCACCACCGCCGCCTTGGACGAGTTGTAAACGGGCGCGATGAAGCCTCGGTTGGCAATGGTGCCACTCATGCTTGCGACCAGGCAGATCGAGCCTTGGATCTTGTATTCCATCATCTGACGGGCGCATTCTCGGGCTGCTAGGAACACGCCGGTATAGTTTACGTCGAGCATCTTCGCGATGTCTTCCTTCTTGAAGTCGATCGCGGGTGTGACTTGCTGGATGCCGGCAGCTGGAGAAGGGATGGTTAGCATTGGAGTTCCAAAGTATTTGAAGAATTCCGTACCTGCAATGAGGCCGTCAAGCCTTTGGTGTTCCGAGGCAATGTCGCCAATGCACTTTCGCATCGCCTGCTCGTCTGTAACGTCCACCCTATGGTACTGCAGACCTGCACCGATGTTGCTCTTGAGACGGCCCTGAGCCTCTTGGAATGCTTGAGGGGGCTCTGGTAACCGGTCGAGACAATGCACCTTGCCACCAGCCTCTACGAGCCCTTCGGCCATGCATAGGCCTAATCCACGGCCTCCACCTGTTGATACGTTAACACGGGTTACAAAGGCATATTGTCTGCTCTAGAGATGGGAGGAGGACGGCATGCTGCACCTGTAACCACGAACACTTTTCCATCGAGGTCGAACTGGCTAAACCGCTTCTCTCCAACAGTCTCATGTTTTTCGTATGGAACTTGAGGATAGGTTGCGTCTTGGTGTGAAGCGAGACCTCGACGCTGAAGAGGGGTCGTGCAAGGCTGAAGTCGGAACGCAGGTGGCGCTGGGCGCGCGAAACGTCGAAGCAACATTCTCGAAGACCGGAAAGCTGCCATGACTGATGTTGTGTATTCGCAGACTGATAGTTGAAAGTAAGAAGACAAGACGAGAGGAAACACAATGTTGAGCGACAAGCCAGGGCGCTCCTGTGCTGACATGTATATGTCACACAGGCATGATGTAATTGCAGCTCATACGCGTACCTCCCCTTCCTTCACCTTGGCTGACCGACAAAGCATCGTGACTTCCGCGGCGACCCAGCCGCACGATTCGTTGAGACCCCAGATGAGCGCCGCTGCGAATGAGCAGGGCAAAAGCTTGACACTAGGCGCGTGACGGAAACACGGCATAAGATTTAGTAACGATTAGCTTACTGGGCTTGCCACCCAGACGTACGAGCATCAATCTCACGATGTTGGCACCTGCAGGCACGGCTGGCCTGCGTGGTCTGAGTGGGTCGCGCCTGTTCCCAACCGGTATCCGGAATGCGGGGCTGTGGAGACACAGGGCTGGGTGGTAGTCGTGTTGATTGGTTGCGGATAGTGTCGCCAACACGCCAGAGGTACATCATTCTGAGCGAACATCGATATGTTGGTAGTTGATGCGTTATCTAAGATGGAGAAGTTTTCATTTTCCCATGATAAGAGCCTGACCGCGTAGCATGCACGGCCGTGGTAGCGGTTGCTGTGGAGAAAATACTCCACTTTGCCATGGGATTCACGTCAGGCTTTCGCAGCGTCCCTTGCATTGCAGGATTCATTTTCCACGATAGAATGGCCTGGACAGCTCGAGAAGCGATCACATCGTGATTTGGTTGACCGGGCTTACTCAGTTGAGAAGCACACGTACTTGCACAATGCAACACAGCGCGCTACACAAATCATACCGTTGCTATCTAAGCAAGCTTGACCTGGACCTACGGGTTGCTAGATACATGAGTATGACGGTGTAACAATGAATGGTTGGAGGCAAAACGCGCCATTTTTGCGCAATCCGCAAAGCTTTTAATCAAATATTGCAGTGTTTCTAGGCAGTGATAAAGCTTTTAACTATGAGTCACGAACGCTTTCTGCATCCATTACATGCAGCGTGTGTGCAAATACTCATTGCATCTATTCTGGCAGATTAGTGTTTGCGGACCAAGTGACAGTTCCAAGAACTTCTCTAGTCGAGATGGCTATTCTCTCGTTACACCCATCTTTCTGCCGCTTATCTTATGGTTAATACCACGATGTGATTCTACACACTCTGATGTTTTGTCTGAGCAAATTTCCATTTTTTGGAGGGATGAGAACCTCTTGGGATCCTAGGAGGCCGATCAAATGCCACGGAACCTGAATCGATGCTCATGATACTGTACATGCTTTTACGGCGCACAGTTGGTCTTGAAATTGTAAACTTTTTCGCATGCTGTGCTTCAGTGTTGCACTTTCTTATGATTTCATATTGCTGCTACCCCATGACTGTTCTCAAGTGCGATCACTAAATTGACAACGCAGGCTCTAGACATCCAGATCATGAATGCGGTGTTGAGGCTCTATATCGAGTGCATCGGAAAGTTTCTTGGGGTCCTAAGTGTGTCGAGCAAAAACGAGTCGCGGTGGAAACATGAAAATGCAATATCGAATATTCTTGGGTCAAATCCAAGGGGCAAGATAGTGAGATTAGTGGACTAAGGTGGGGTAGATGCAGCATGTCTCGCTTCGGAACGCTAATGCGCCAATTCTCGGCGCAGCCCCTTTATTACAAAACCCGCGATATTAGCGCATCAAAATCACAACCCTCCATCAATCATCTCTTCAAGAGATCCATCGGCCTGATGGTCTAGTGGTATGATTCCTGCTTTGGGAAATCACGTGACCGTGATAAGCCTATTCTGCAGGAGGCCCCGGGTGTAAGTTCACCCATTCAGATTCGAAATCGAACGCAAACTAATAGCGTCTAGTCGAATCCCGGTCAGGCCCCAATTCCTTTTTTTGCAGCATTCTACGCATGAGGAGATCAGGTATGAGTTGCGTGTGTGACTCACATCTTTCTGTTTCATTTTATTTTATTTTTTCATATTTTTAATTGCGCTGGTCTGGAAACGCCAAATGGAGCGGTTGAGCAACACGTTATATTATCGCAACGCAAACACACTGTAATAACTGTACGCAGCTGTATACCTTTATTCTTCGCGGATTCAATATTAACTAAGAAAGGATTAAGGAAAGCACACATACGAGTGGGTTGCATGTGACGTTTGATCGCTGTGGCTATTGTCGCAGCCTGGCTGCCGCGCAGAAGAGCAATAAGTTCACGAAGTTACTTTACCAATACCTACTTGTCACCAACTTCAACCCCTCATCTCCAAATTCGCGAATACCCCTCTCCTCCACCCGCGTCCTAGTTCGAAACGTTTTCTCAATCTCGTCAGTCTTCAAATTCACCCCCTCATGTTCATACCGCTCTCTCTTCACCAGACAACCTTCTATCGCCCACTTCGGCACCGCTTCCTCAAACCTAACACCCTTCTCCTCTAGCATCATCCTAACAAGCTCCTTCGTCTTCTTCCCATTCATCTCCTTAGTCGAATACATAGTCCTCGCAAAAGCAGAAACAGAATTCCTCACAGCATCATTGCGACAACGCCAAATAAGGTTATTAAGCGCCTCCGCTACATCAGGCACAGGAAAGAACCTCGCATCGAAATGCGCCGTTCCCAACACTTCTTCCACATCGCCCTTGACCTCCGGCTCAGGCATGGCCTTCAGAGCATCAGTGAGATGCTTGTTGAATCTCACGGAGCAGTAGCTAGCACTTAGACTGCATAGCTTTTGTACTCGCTCATTGAAACTCTGCACGCCTTCTGGGAAGACTAGGGTGATTTCGTCGGATTGCGTGTATGCGACTGTGGCTCGGGGGAAGAAATGGAGGAGGTCGGCGCAGGTTGATATCATTGCGGTGTGTATGCGCTCGTCGAATGGGCGCGCGAAGTGCGAGGTAAAGCGTGAGAAGCCATGGCCGTCCAGACGAAGGATGATGGGCTTGTCGAGTGGGAGAATTTGGTCGAATTGTGCTTCGTATGATTTCATGCGCGCTGCGAGTGATAAGGGTTTATCGGTGCGCGGTGCTGGTGGTGTCTCGACGTCGTTGTGGTCTGACATGGTTTCGGTATTAGTGTTGAGAATCTTGTAGGTTGACTGTGTTGGCTGTTGAGAGGTAAGACTACGCCTACCTTCACCCTAGATTAACGATGACTCATCCGCCGCACGTGTTTCACTTCAGTTGCATGATTAGGATCGTTATGGTGGTCACGTCACGATGAAGGACGGATTGGAGGGTATTTCTGAAGTGGCATTATCCCCTACAGTATTATGTACATCATAAAAGCTTCATGCTCAGCCATCCCAATAATTATTCCCAGCTTAAGGCAAGCACGAAAGGATCGGCTTGAGCTTGTTGATGATCTCAGTCTGAACCGCAGCATCGTTCATAGTCGTCTTGTCGTTTGCATCGCCAGGGCTAATGGTAACGTAGCAATCGCTTCCTCGGATCAAGATGACATCCGCCTCCCACGGCAGGCGCGTGCTACCGCACCATTCGGCATCGCGAGCACTCAGAAGTCCCGTGTTGATGCGAGTGAAGATGTACTTGAACTGGCTGGGGTCGCTGCACTTGGTCTCGGATACAGCGGGAAAGTTGACGTTCAGGAAGGAGTTTGCTGGGAGGTATGGCTTTCCAGAGTTGATGATGGTCGTGGTAACGTTCAAAGCCAGATCAGCATAGACCTTGCTGTGGAAAGGAGTAGGTGCGTTCCATGCAGTAGGATCTCCTGTCACGCCAGAGAAGGCGATGGCTGGGATCTGAGCCGTCTTTGCCGCGAATGCAGCGGCGCCGACTGTGCCGGAGAAGGGAACCTGAACAGCAACATTGCTGCCGACGTTCGGTCCGGTCAGAGCGAGTTCAGGCTTTGCGCCGTTCCAGAGCTTGGGGGCAGTGACATCGATTCCCTCCTTGATCGAGGTGACCGGGAAAGAGTTGACGTAGTTTAGGCGAGGGTCTGTCGCGTTCGCGCCGGTTGGCGGGCTTCCTCCTGGGCAGGACGCATGAATGCAACCGTCTGAATCAACGGTTTTCGGGGGTGCGTCGGAAGATCCTGATATAAGTCAGCATGTGTATATGGCCATGACTCGACTACCAACCTCTGCCAGACTGGTTCTCAGCGGGACCAGACAGTACGACTTCGTGACCAGCAGAGTTCAAGACGTCAAAGAAGGTGCGAAGGTTTGCCTCTGACCAGCCGTCATCGTTTGACTGAACGATGCGAACGGCTTGAGCGAAAGGAACTGCCGCAGCGAGTAGTAGGAAGGATCGCATCTTGAATAACGAATGGAAGACGACGAAGCGAATGTGTTTGACGGAGCGACCTGAGACCTATGCGAGTAAACAGCGCGCACCTGACGTTTATAACAACACCCTCCTCCCGACCTATCCTTAAGCCAGCCACAGAGTCCCCAGTCTTGATCCACCGCTAACGTTCCAAGCATTATGCGAGCCGAACGGGCGAACAGAGGTCAGGAACACAGCCATGGCACACGCCGCAGTCTAGTCACAACGTGCGGGTAGCAGCGATCTGATTTGCCCGAGGCTTAGTCTTATCTAGATTATAGTAGTTACATAGGTAGATGCCTATTAGTAAGAATATATCTTAGTAAACTTTGTCTTTAGACACCTAGCTATATTTACTTATCTTTAAAAAGACTTAATTACTATTTACCTTTAACTTCTTTATCTTACCTAATACTACTTTAAATATACTACTATAAGCTACTTTACTACTACTATAC